GCCTCTTGTGGGTTGCACGAGATATTCCCAGAACATGTTTGGTTGAGCCTGTCTTATTTTAGCACATCGGGCTTATGTTCTAAGAGCATCGTTTTTTCTTAGGACATGTTTGGGTTCTACGAACATGTCGTGGTAGGCCTATGGGAATACCGGGACTGTCGGCCCCTGCTCAAGGATGGCGGCACCGTCTCATCTCTGCTCGCGCGCGCACGTGCCGCGGCGAGGGGAAGCGGTTTCGGCTTCTGCTGCAGTGGACGTCGGCCACGCGCACGAGGGGGTGGAGGGAGGGGGAAAGGCTTCTCGGAAGGAGGCTGGTTCGTAGAAGGCGCGGGCCTTACATCTATAGCTATAGAGAAGACCAGCGCCTTCTAAGAAACAGCCTCCTTCTAAGAAGCCTCCCCCCTTCCTCCACCTCGTGTGCGCGCCGCCAAAGTGGACAGGGCGGCATGGTTTTGCAATTTTGGCCACTCGTTCGGCAGCAAATCATGGGAGCCGCGTGTCCCCTGGTAGTTCCGTCTTTCGAGTGCGCTGGCGTCGGCCAACATCTGGCTATCAATGACTCAGCGCCGACTTCGCGTCGACCTAGCGTCGACTCAGCGTCGGCTTAACGTACCTGTAGTCCGGGGGGGGCGCGCATGTTATTCGTCGATGCACGCGTGGATCCACGCACACGGGATTCGGCGCGCGGGTGTCTGCGCGCGCGGGACTGCGCGTGGCTCCCAGGGGATAGCGAATTGACGGGGTCCTGTAGCTTCGGAGAGGATTTGTAGCACCTAACGGGGGTACCTGCAGTAGTCCGGGGGAAGGGTACCTGTAGTCCGGGGAGGGGTACCTGTAGTCCGGGGGGAGGTATCTGTCTGTAGTCCGGGGGGGGGTACCTGTAGTCCGGGGGGGTGTACGGAAGGGGTACCTGTAGTCTGGGGGGTACCAGTAGTCTGGAGACCCAGAACTATTGAGGGACACAGAGTACGCGTAGTCGAATCGCAAGCGGCGCGTCGAACTGCCAGGCAGTCGATCCACCATCCGAAATCCAGAGGAAGCATCGGAACAGAAGACAATTCGCAACAAGGGCGTCATCGTGCGATCACAGGACTGCAGACTGTTTTAGAGAGATCGCCACGTGCTACGCCGGTTCGATGTGTGATGGTGGCAGTGCCGTGGCACCCCTCCTCATGCCGTGGTCCTTGGCGACCCCCAGCGTCGCAGAAAGCATGGCACACATTACAACGAGTCAGAGCATGGAAGTTTACATCACTCCATCGTGTGGTTCGAGGAAGAGGAGGAGGAGGAGGAGGAGGAGGAGGAGGAGGAGGAGGAGGAGGAGGAGGAGGAGGAGGAGCAGCAGGAGCAGGAGCAGGAGCAGGAGCAGGAGCAGGAGCAGGAGCAGGAGCAGGAGCAGCAGGAGAGGAGCAGGAGGAGCAAGAGGAAGAGGAAGATGAGGAGGAGGAGGAGGAGGAGGAGGAGGAGGAGGAGGAGGAGGAGGTTAGCAGCACTTGTGGCCAGAGCCAACGGGGCCGAGTCAGGAACTCACACTGTGGAATGGTACGGGCGTGTGGCCCTCAGACAGTGCTTTGTAAACTCCAAGATGGAGGGTTATCACTACTCCCAGAGCGTTACGCTCTGCGGTCTGGTCTCTGCTTTGCATTCTGTACTTTTAACTATCCGCTCGATTCTCGACCCTCTCTAGTTCCCAACCATCCTATAGTGTTGGCTCCTCGTTTTGAAGAAACAGCGCCCCGCGTCCCACCTCCTCCTCTCCTCCTCCTCCTCCTCCTCCGCCTCCTCCTCCTCCTCCGCCTCTGTGCCTCTGCCCTCTGCGGGTCAACCATTTCGGCACACCCCTCACACGCTTCGTGGCCCCATGGGGAGCTCCACCGAGGGCCCCAGTGGCAAAGTTCGCACGCGGTTCCACCCCCCATTGTGGCACACCCCTCACACGCTTCGTGGCCCCATGGGGAGCTCCACCGAAGGCCCCAGTGGCAAAGTTCGCACGCGGCTCCACCCCCCAGTTTGGCACACCCCCTCGCACGTTTCGGCGGCGGCAGCGCCAGCATCCCTGGCGGGCAGCGGGGGACGCCGCAGCAGGGACGGCGCCAGCCGCGAAGGCCCTTTGTGGCGAGGGGCCCGAGCAGCGAGCCGGGCGGCGGCGCCGCAGCACAGGCACGGCCGGCAGCGGCGCGCCGTGGGCGCCGCCGCCGCGCCGCGCGGGGTTCCATCTGGCCACAGCCGTACGTCGGGCCTGCCCCTCTACAGGTGGAATATTCAAGAATAGCACTGAATTGGTCCAGGGACGATGTTTCAATTATTTTCCGGTTCGTTTTGGAGTAGGATTTGGCTTTTTTTGCATTTCTCCTCCAAGATCCGCCTGTAGGGGGACACGCCCGACCGAACCCCAGCTCCCGGTGGCGGCGGACCCAGGTCGCGACGACCAACCTCGAGCCAGAGCGGTTTGAGCCAGACTTGAGCCAGAGGGGCCACGGACGCACACGCACAAAGACACGCACACACGCACGCGCACACAAAGACGCACACTCTCACACATGCACACACCATCACCGAAGTCCCCAGTGGCAAAGTTCGCATGCGGTTCCACCCCCATTTTGGCGCACCATTCACACGGTTCGTGGCCCCATACGGAGCTCCACCGAAGGCTCCAGTGGCAAAGTTTGCATGCGGTTCCATCCTCATTTTGGCACACTTTCACCCGCTTCGTGGCCCCATCGGAAGCTCCACCGAAGGCCCCAGTGGCAAAGTTCGCAGGCGGTTCCACCCCCATTGTGGCACACCCCTCACACGGTTCGTGGCCCCATCGGGAGCTCCACCGAAGGCGATACTCACAATTGCGGCACCCACAACTGCATATGGTTGAGTCCTTCGCCAGGCTAATTTTCTGGGCGTTTGGTTCCAACAGTCCTGTGTGCTGGGTCCCAGTTTTGAATCCGCAGCGCCGTGCTCCACCTCCTTCTCTCTTCCTCCTCCTCCTCATCTCCCCCCTCTTTCTTTCCTTTTGCCTTTTCCTTTTACGCGGTGCACAGCGTCACTCCGCCCACGTCGGCGCACCCCTCATTTCGCCCACCACTCACACATGTCGTGGTCCCATAAGGAGCTCCACCGAAGGCGCCAGTGGCTGCGAGCGCATGGTGATCCGCCCTATTTCGGCACACCCTCACACCTGTCTTGGCACCATGGGGAGGTAGCTCAACCGAAGGCCGCAGTGGCTGCGTCCGCATGGTGACCCACCACATTTCGGCGCACCCCTCACGAGCTTCGTGGCCCCATGGGAAGCTCCACAGAGGGCCCCCAGCGACTGCGTCCGCATCGTGCCCCGCCCCATTTCGGTACACCTCTCACGCGTTTCGTGGTCCCATAGGGAGCTCCATCCAATGCCCCAGTGGAGTCGCCCACATACGTACGTTCCGCACATTTCGGCGCACCCCTCACACGCTCCGTGCCCCATAGGGAGTTCCACCGAAGGCACCAGTGGCGACGTTCGCATGCGTCCGCGTCGCACATGTCGGCACACGCCTCACACGCTTCGTGGCCCCACAGGGCGCCACACTCGATGCCCTCGTGGCGACGTTCGCAAGCGTCCGCGCCGCATATGCCGGTGCACCCCTCACACGTGTCGCGGGCCCACAGGGAGTTCCACCAGAGGCCCCAGTGACAACGTTCGCATGCGTCCGCGCCGCAAATTTCGGCGCACTTCTCACGCGTTTCGTGGCCCCCATCCGTCGTTTCGCATGCCTCGCGATATCCGTAGCTGCATATGCTTGGGTATTTCGCCTGGCTAGTTTTATGCAGCCCACCACTATTTCTTAACCATCTTGTGGTGCCCTCGTTTTGAATTCGCATCGCGCCGCGCCCCCTTCCTCCTCTTCTCCTCTCCACTTCTCTCCTCTCCTCCTCTCTCCTCCCCCTGCTCCCACCTCCCATCCTTGCCTCTGCCCGCCACATGCTCACGTCGGCATACCCCTCACACATTTCGAGGCTCCATAGGGTGCTCCATCGAAGGCCCAATGGGCTCGTTCGCATGACAGCACCGCACCCCCTCCTTGGACACCCCTCAAGCATGTCGTGGCCTCATATGGAGCTCGACGGGAGGCCCCAGTGGGTGCGTCCGCATGGCGGCACCGCATCCATTTCGGCATATTCTTCTCACATTTCGTGCTCCTCATATGGAGCTCCACCGAGGGCTTCAGTGGCCGCGTTCGCATGTCGGCACCCCACGGGTTTTGGTTTACCCCTCACACGTTTCGAGCCTCAGAGTGAGCTACACCGAAGGTCTCAGTGGTGGCATTCGCATGGTGACATTGCGCCCGCTTTGGGCACACCGCTCAGACGTTTCGTGGCCAACTCTATTGGGTGCCCCAGTGGTTGCGTTCGCAAGGCGGCACCGCACCTGTTTCAGCATACCTCTCAGGCGGTTCGTGGCCCCATATGGAGCTCAACCGAGGGTTCCAGTAGCTGCTCTCGCATGGCAGCACCGCGCCCATCTCGGCACACCCCTCTCACGTTTCGTGGCCCCAGAGGTAGCTTCGCCGAAGGCCTCAGTGGGATTCGTTCGCGTGGCGGCACTCGCACCTACGTCTAGCAGCACACTCCTTAAACATTGTCGTGGCCGTCTGGGGAGCTCCACCGGTGGCTCCAGTGGGTCCGTTCGCTCCGTACACTCAGGGCTTCTCACTTCAAGGCGGCAAAAGGGCACACAGCGTGCCCCAGCAGGGCCCACAAGCGGAGCCAGACACCTCATCATTCCTCGTCGCCCAGGTGAGCGCCCCATTGGGGGGGGCACACAGGTGCAGATCCCGCAACTCTCCAGACCTCTCAGGAGGTGCGTTCTGACTAGAATTTTGCAGCGAATCCAGCCGTGGCAGCGCGGCATCGGCAGCGGTATTGGTATCGGTGCTTCCTCCGATCCATGGCTCGAGGGACCGATCGCCCAAGTTGGGCGCCTCATCGCCCAACTGGGCGCCCCCCCTCCGCCCCCCACAGACGCCGAGGCGCCCGAACCAGCTTCGGCACGCCCCGCGACGCGGCGGTCGAGCTGCTGCGCGCGGTGGCGAGTGCTCAGCGCCGCGCGCTCAGCGACACGTTGTCGACGTCGTTGTCGTTGTCGTCGTCGTCGTCGTCGCCGTCCTCGTCGTCGTCGTCGTCGGCGTCGTCGTCGTCGTGGTGCTCGTCGACGTTGGTCGTCGTCGTCGTTATGTGCGTCGACATCGTTGACATTGTTTGGCATCTTCCAGCCGATCACCATTCCTGGCCTTGGCCACACTGGCCGATGTACCTCCCCATGCGGGGATATATGATTCAGTGTCCCCCCAATGCATATGGGATCGAGACCCACCCCCCTGGATGGTGGATGGTGCTGGTGCACCCCCTCATTCACCCCGTGGCTGTGGGGTTGCCCGTCGTCGTCGTCGTCGTCGTCGTCGTCGTCGTCCGGCGTCCGTCGTCCGTCGTCCATCGTCAGTCGTCCGTCGTCCGTCGTCCGTCGGCGCCGTCTGCGTCGGCGTCGTCGCCGAGCTCCCTATGGGGCCACGAATCGTGTGAGGGGTGCTCCGAAATAGGTGGCGGGCACGCATGTGGCCACCCCCACTGGGGCCTTCGGTGGAGCTGCCCAGGGAGCAACGAAACGTGTGAGGGTGTCCCGAAATGAGCGGCTGGGACGCATGCGGGCGGCGCCACTAAGACTTTCAGTGGAAACCCTTTTATGGGGTCACGAAGTGTGCCAGGAATGCGCCGAAGTAAGAGGCGCCATGTGGCCTTTCAGTGGGACTTCCAAATGGGGCCACGAAACATGTGAGGGGTGTGATGGCATGAATGTATGGGGCGCCTGCTAGCGGGGCCACTGGGGCCCTCGGTGGGCCTCCCTAGGGGGACACGAAACGTGCGAGGTGTGTGCCGACATGAGCGGCTGGGACGCATGCGGGCGGCGCCATTGGGGCCGTCGGTGGATACTACGGGGCCACGGACAATTTGAGAAGTTACCGCCATGATCGGTTGGGACGCATGCGGGCGGCGCCATTGGGGCTTTCGGTGGAGCTCCCGATGGGGCCACGGAGCGTGTGATGGGTGTGCCAAAATGAGCGGCTGAGGCGCATGCATGCGGCGCCATGTGGCCTTCGGTGGAGTTCCCTAGGGTGCGCGAAACGTGTGAGGGGTGTGCCGAAATCAATGCCTGGGACGCATGCGGGCTGCACCGTTGGGGCCTTCGGAGGAGCTCCGGACGGGGCCACGAAACATGTGAGGGGTGTGCCGAAATGTGAGGCTGCAGCGCATGCGGGCGCTGCCACTTTGGCATTCGGTGGAGCTTCCTATGGGGCCGTGGTCCTCGTGAGGGGTGCGCCCACATTGTGGACATGCGGAGGGCAGATGCGGGGATGGGAGGAGGGAGGGGGAGAAGGAGGATAAGGGGGAGGAGGGGGAAGGAGGATAGGAGAGTAGATGAGAGGAGACGCGGAGCGCTGTCATTTCAAAACGAGGACCCTACACCACATGATGGTTGGGGAAGCAGAACAACCACACACACGCACACAGCTTCTAAACACACTGCGTAGAAACCAGTGCGTAGAACACACTGCGTAGAAATCACTGCGGCTGGGATTTGTCAGCACCGCCCATGGCACTCTGCCACAATGTCACGCCTCCAAGAGCGATACGTTACAGGCGCCTGCCCAACAACAAAAACACAGCATCGCAACGTGGAACTCACTGCGTGGAACACGCCGCGTAGCCTACACTGCGTAGAACACGCAGCGTTTGGGCTTTACCAACACCTCCCATCACACGTTACCGCAAGAACACGCCTGCAGTAACGATGCCTTAAAGGCGCCCGCTAAACAAAACAGCGTAATCCGCGCATAAGAACCACAAGTGCGCGCAGACAGTTTTTGTGTGTTGGCAGGCGCTTTATACTTGCCCTTTGTAGAGGCACCATTTTGTCTGCAGCAAGTGTCCTGTCCGTTGTGTTGCTCCGCTGGTTGCCCGAGGATTCTCAGCTCCCAAAGGAAACGTTTGCAAAAGGACAACCAATTTGCGCGACGGAGTCTGAAGTGCGCATCGAAATACCCCGAAGCTACCTGCGGGGTGCTTTGCGGTCCCTCGGCAGACGCCTTTCATCCTGGAGCTGAGAGCGCTCCGCCAAACAGTGGTGCAATCGCTATCACAAGATATTTTCACAGACGAAACACCACGTAAACAACAACAGCGTACAACAAAACATCCACAAAGTGCCGTATGGCATCGCAACATCAAGCCGACTAATAACATAGCGTGGCATATTGTTAACATAAGACATAGCGAAGACTACACCGTGTCGAAAACACCACGTGGAAAGCATGTCGTAGAAAACATTTCGCAGTTTAATGCAATTCGCCGTGAAGAGCAACTCTCATCTTGTGGCTGCGGTATGCTGAGTGGGCTGGTCGGGACGTATGCTTGTAAAACCTAGCGACCCACGTCTCTCGGGTGGGGAACCAGTCTGATGTGTTAGGTCATGTCCTGCTCGGGTATGTCACGTGTTGCTATGGCTTGCTGTCGCTTCCTGTTTCGTCATGCTATGCTAGGTTATGTTAAGTCATGCTATGTTGTGTTATTCGCTATTATGTTCAGTTCTGTCATGCTCGTCGAAGGCGCGGGTGGCGTGATATTCAGAGGACTCTCGGTGGTCTTGGGGATCTGGCGGCCGTGATATGCAGGGTGGGCTGGTCGGGAGGTCTGTTCTTAAAGCCTTCTGGCTTTATTTTGCCGGGTGGGGCACAAGTCTCATGTTCTCTGTCATGTTTGTTCTGGTATGTCATGTGCTGCCACGCCATGTTCTCTTCTGTCATGCTTCTTTAGTTTCTCATGTTGTGCTCGGTCATGTGTTGTCACGGTCGTTAATGTTATATTCTATTTTGTTTAGTTCTGGCATGCTCGTCGATGGCGCGGATCGCGGGGCACTCCGGTGACATTCGGTGGACCTGGGGATGTGGTGGCCGCGGCATGCAGTCTGGGCCGGTCGGGAGGTTCGTTCTTAAAATGCATCTGCCCCTTATTGTCTGTAGGAGAACAAGTGCGATGTGTTATGTCATGTTCTGTTTTTTGGTAATTACGTCACGTATTCTTGAGTCAATTTTTGTATGTGGTGTTCGGTGGTGTTCTGTCATGCTATGTGCTATTATCCGCTGTTCTGTTCAGTTCTGTCATGCTCGTCGAATGCATGGACGGCGTGATACTCAGGGAACACTCGGTGGACTTGGGGATCTGGCGGCCGTGAATTGCAGGGATGGGGAGGCCTGCTATTGAAATCTAAGGACTCCAAACGGTCGGGTGTGGAGCAACCTTAATCTGTCGAGGTTGGAAAAGAAGCATGATGTGTTCTGTCATATTTTCTTCTGTCATGCTGTGTTTTGTCACACCATGTTCTGTTACGTGTCTGCCATACTCTGCACTATCATATATACTCTTGTTTGTTTTGTTCTGTCATGTTCGTTGAAGGCGCGGGTCGCGGGATACTCGGGGGACAACAGGCGGACCCGGAGATCTGGCGGCCGTGATATGCAGGATGGCCCGGTCTGGAGGTCTGTGCTGAAACTCTACCAGCCCCTGCGTGTCGGGCGTGGAACTACAAGAACAAAAACATTGAACATGATGACAATTGCAGGCACGCAGTGGCTGTCCAGTGCTTGCGCTCCAGAACCAAACAAAAAAACGCACGGTTCGTACATGTGGATGTCAAAACCGTTTTAAGTTAAAGCCGAACCACACGAAAGTACAGTACATATGTTTAAAGGGCCGTCTCTGAACACGCTATGTTGTATAGGGTGTTGGCATCCATATGTAAGAACGCATGTGCGTGTTGGCTCACAGCATTTGACAATCACTAAATTCCTATGGTTTCCTTGACTTGCACATGATGTCAGTGTTTTCCCAACCGTCCTGTGGTGTTGGGTCCTTGTTTTGAAGAGAGAGCGCCCCGCGTCCTCACTCCCAGTGCCCCTCCTCCCTCCTCCCATCCTCCTCCTCCCGCTGCCTCCATTTCGGCACACCCTTTACACGTTTTGTGGCCCCATAAGGTGCTCCACCGAAGGCCCCAGTGGGAAAGTTCGCATGCAGTCCCACTCCCATTTCAGCACTCGTTTCGCACGGTTCGTGGCCCCATAGGGAGCCCCACCGCAGGCCCCAGTGCCAATGTTCGGCGCAACCATCACACGTTTCGCGGACCCTTTGGGAGCTCTACCGAAGGCTCCAGTGGAAACGTTCGCATGCAGTTCCATTTCCCATGTCGGCACAGGCCTCACACGCTTCTTGGCCCCATAGGGAGCTCCACCGAATTCCCCGGTGCGAAAGTTCACATGCAGTTCCACTCTTCGGCGGACCCCTCACACGTTTCGTGGCCCCATAGGGAGCCCCACCGAAGGCCTCAGTGGGAAAGTTCGCATGCAGTTCCACCACCCATCTTGTCGCACTCCTCACACGGTTCGTGGCCCCATAGGGAGCCCCGGAACCCCACCTGAGGCCCCAGTGGGAAAGTTCGCATGCAGTTGCACCCCCCATTGCGGCATACCCTTCACGCGCTTCGTGGCCCCATAGGGAGCCCCACCGCAGGCCCCAGTGGGAAAGTTCGCACGCAGTTCCACCTCCCATTTCGGCGCACCCCTCATACGTTTCGTGGCCCCATAGGGAACCCCACCGCAAGCCCCAGTCAAATCGCAAGGCCGCCGCAGAAGGAATGCATGTGTGCGGCCGCCACAACAGGAATAAATCAGTAAGTCGCCACAAGAGGAATCAACATGTGAGGCCGCCACGAGCTACATTTGTGCGTTGGCAACCACATGAGAAATTCAGATGTAAGGCTGCCGCACGAGGAAGCCACTTGCAAACAAAATCAACCGTCTTCGAAGTCGCGGCACAGGGAATATTTGACAAGGCCGCCGCAGCAAGGAAATCAGCTTTCAACCCGCCACAACAGGAGTCCATATGCAGCGCCGACATGACAAACCATATGCTAGTGGGTAACAAAAAGAATGCACATAAAAGGCCGCCACCAAGAAATCGATGTGTAGGCCGCCACGCAAGGAATCAGGCTGCAACCCACCAGAAGGACATCAGTTGGCAAGTCGCCCAACAATGAACCAATACGTGACGCCGCTATCAGCAGGAAATTGTAGGTGGACCACCACAGAAAGAATGCATGCGCGATGTCACGACAACACAACATCGATGTGTAGGTCGCCGCAAACAGACAGAGTGTATTATACCTATACGACCACCCTGCGGCTGATAAGGAGGTTGGGGGGCAGCAATGGGCAAAAATGGTGATTGTTGTTCTGACGATGCCTGTGGGGCGGAGTCTAGTGAGTAGTGCGATTGTGCACGTGAGCGTGATGTGATGTGGCAATGTTGGCGAAGCGCACTCGACATTGTCGTCAAGCGCTGTCTCCGCGTGCGCTTATCAATCGCGCGAACCTCACCTCAGCGCTGGCCGACGTGGTCGAACGTGCGCGCTGCGGCCGGACCAAATGTTTCTCCTCCAGCGGCCGGTGGCACGCGGTGTCCCGCCGGTGTCCCGCTGGTGTCCCGAAATCCTCCTGTGGCTGGGCCGCCCGCGGCCAAACCAAATGCTTCTCCTCCGGCGGCCAGTGGCGCGCGGTCTCCCGCCGGTGTCCCCATGGTGTCCCGAAATCCTCCTGTGGCTGGGCCGCGACCAAACCAAATGCTTCTCCTCCGGCGGCCAGTGGCGCGCGGTGTCCCGGCGGTGTCCCGCTGGTGTCCCGAAATCCTCCTGTGGCTGGGCCGCGGCCAGACCAAATGATGTTCCTCCCGTCAAACGGTGGCCCGCGGTGTCCCGCTGGTGTCCCACTGGTGTTCCGCCGTGGGTTGCGCATTTCAAAACATCGCCGCTTGCGGCGAGCTATCCAATGCAAGTCTGCATGAAACCGACATGCAGACCGAAAAACACATCGAAATGCAAATCGATTTGCACATCCAAATACAAATCGTAAGGCGCCGTGGGCGACGCGGCGAGTAGGGTTTAGGGTTTAGGGTTTAGGGTTTAGGGTTTAGGGTTTTGGGTTTTGGGTTTTGGGTTTTGGGTTTTGGGTTTAGGGTTTAGGGTTTAGGGTTTAGGGTTTAGGGTTTAGGGTTTAGGGTTTAGTGTTTAGGGTTTAGGGTTTAGGGTCTAACAGGGTTTAGGGTTTAGGGTTTAGGGTTTAGGGTTTAGGGTTCCTCTTGCATCGTTTTGGGGCCCTCTTGGCCCCAACAAGTCACGCGAGAAGATGCGGGGGAGCCCATGGGGCATGCGGGAAGCCCCATGAGATTTAGGGATTCGGGGTCTGGGCCATGTGGTTCAGGGGGTTCGGCAAAATACCTGAGGACACGCCCACTCCGTGCCCAGAGGCACGGTGGCAGATCTCCGACGAAGGAGATTCTTTTGCGTTCACCGACAATGGGGGTCCTTTTTTATACTTAGCGGCAAAAGGAATCTAGCAGTAATTCCCCGCCAAAAGGATTCACTTGCAATCTGCCACAAGGGAAATGCTGTTGCAAATTGCCACCAACATGAATATGTGTCAGAGTCTCCACTGTATATTGAGATGCCACGAAACCACATTGATGGCACACACACACACGCGCACGCGGCTTTTCACAAGGAAGACAAAACATTATCAGAAACGGAAGCGGACAACCGAAGTAACGAGTACAGGCCATAAAAAAGAGGTTCTAACACACGCACACACACGCGCGCGCACACAGACAAGCACACACACAAACTCACGCGCACACGCACGCTGTTTTATCCCCCCCCCTCTCACCTCCCCTCCCCACACATACCTCCTGATTCGTGGGTGCGCGTGGCCTGACATCTGCTGCAAGAGCGGAGAGGGCACAGGGAAGGATCCCAGACGCGCCTCCAGTCACGGTGCTCGTGTCTTGCACGACCGTGAGGAGATGTGGAGCCGTGGCGAGGCGTCCTGGCCTGCCCTCAGGCCCACCAGAGCATGTTCTGAGAACCTCTTTGCGGAGCGTGCGATCTGTTATGGGAACATCGCTGGCCGAGACAGTCCTGCTTGCCGGGAGATGCGGCGAACGGGGAGAGGTGCGGGCGTGGCCCGCGACAGCATGCCACGCACCGAGGTGCGCACCGCTCGCGGATCACGGAGGCGCAGGGGCAGGTGGAGTCCCTGCGGCGGGAGCTGGGCAGCCTGGAGGTGGCAGCCTTTTGCGCCGTGGGCCCCTCCCCGCAGCCACCTCGCCGCAGGAGGTCAGCATCGCTTATCAAATCCCCATCCGCACCCCCTTCGAGGCCCCCACCAAAGTACCACCCCAGTCAGTTGGGGATACCCCCCTCGAAACTCGGAGGGAACGGCCCAGATCCGCATCCAGGGGGGTAAATCGGCCAGTGGGGCCCAGGCCACGCCGCTGGGGATGGGGATCGGTGTCAATGATACTCAGGAGGTGGCTCTCGCCCGGGCCTGCGCGGCCCAGGCCTGCGCGGCCCGGTAGTAGGCTAGCAAGCCATGAGGGCCGCTTGTGCTCTCGTAATTCCGTAGTTCGAGCGCACCAGCGTCGACTAGCGTCTGGTTATCGCTGAGGCAGCGCCTACTTAGCGTCGATTAGCGTTGCACATCGTTGAGGATCGTCAGTTCGCAAGGGCCAACACGATGGTATGGGAGGCTCCCATGAGTTGCCGCAGAAAGGCTGCGGTGATCGTGCTGCCCAGCGCCACCAGGGCGCCAGAGGCTTGGGCCACACCCCCTGGCGCCTCCGCCCCTTCGTGCTACCAGTCGGCGGTGAGCCCAGGGCGGAATTGAGACGGGTATCGAGGCTTGAGGTTTTCGGGAGAGGCTCTTGGGCGAGGGCACAGGCATCTTCCAAGACTGGAGACCCTGGAGTCTTCTGTCGGTATCCCTCAAAAGGGGTGTGCGCCCCTGGAGGGGGTGAGTTCGATCGGCTTGTGCACCGAACCGCCCCAAACAGAAGCCCCCCCCGCCGCCGGCAGCTCCCGATAGTTGCCGATAGGTGGGGCATGCAGATCGAATTCATGCCCCCCTCGGGGCCACCCCATTTCGGTCGATCCCAATCCTTCGAAGGTGTGCCTCTTCTCACTTCCCCCCTGGACTCGCCGTCGAACCAGGTGGTTGGAGCTACTACTACGAATGCACCTCGGCGGGGCCGTCCACGGCAAGAAAACAAACGATGCCTCAAAAGGTTTCCTCTTCAGAGCCTGAATCCACGGATTGCGCATCCGACGGCGGAGAAATCCCCTCCTTGCGCCGGCGCGCCCCTAGCGCAGCAACCCAGCCAAACGAGGTGGTTGGAGAGGGAGGTGAGGCAGCAGAAGAGGTGAGGGATGGCGGTGGTCTCTGCTGCTGCTGCTGCTGCTGCTGCTGCTCAGCTCTACCACCTGCGGCGGGCCGCGGGCGTACGGCGAGGGACGCTGCGAGCATCGTCATAGCGTCGGTCGGTCGGTCAGAGTACGCAGTCCGTGGTCCCAGGAAGTATCTCGGAGGCCTAACGGCTAACACCAACACAAATATGTCGCCGCGCCATTTGTTCCGATGCGCGGCCTGGCGTCTTGGGGAGGGCGCCGCGGGCACCAGGGCAAACGCCACCTCGAGCGCGGTGGTCTCACCGTGGGGTGTGCCGCGTGGCGGCCTCGTCTACCTGGGGCGCGGGGCGCAGGGCTTGTAAGGGGTTGCCGTGGCGCCGGCGTCGTTAATTTGCATGCGTCGAGAAGAATCGGCGCGGCGACGTATTGGCGGTGTGCCTCCATCGAGGGAAGATGATCCCGGTTTCGGTGGTGGTGGTGGTCAAGTTCGGGTTTCTTAGACGGCCAGAATGTGACCACCGACGTCAAACTTTGGGGCTATCTGTCTTTGGTGGAGGCAACGCCATGCTCAGCTGTTGGTGCCCATTTCCAAACATCCACGCATCAACGATGCTGCAATGCACCCTCCCGTCGCGCAAGTCGACTCATTCATTCCCTTCCACTACGGGGAATGCCCTATTGGAAAGACGACCAGCTCTTGGGCTTGCAATTCAGGCGAGAGGGCTTATTTAATCGCTTCGCTCATTCCGCCGGCCCGTACTGTGCCATCGCAGGCGTTTGCTTGCGCGTTCGTGGCCTCTTGGAGCCTCGGTGGGGCCGTTTGGGGCCTCTTGGCGCCTCTTTTTAGGCCTCTTGGAGAACTCGGGAGGCCTCCAGGGGGCCTCCTGAGCTCTCGTGACGGTCTCTTGGGGGGCTTTCGGCGGGCTCTTGGCGGTATTTGTTGGTCCTCTTGGGGCCTGGGGCCTGACGTTGTTGGTCCTCTTGGGGCCTCACGGGAGCTTATTGGGGCGTCTTGGGGGTGTCTTGGAGAGTCTCTTGGGGCCTCTTTCGGGGTCCTGGGCGCCTTCTGGGGCGGAGGGCTCGATTTTTCAGTTCTCGGTTCCCTTCTTGAGCCCCTCTTGGGCCCGTCTTGGGGCCTCTTGGTCCGCCTTGGGCAGCACTTGGGCCGTCTGGGGGGCGCTCTTGGGCCGCTCCGGGGCCGTTTTGGGAGCCTCGTGGGCCGTCTTGGAGCAGTCTTGAAGGCCTCTTGGGCCCTCTTGGAGCGTCCGGAAGCGAAAAGGCCAGAACGCAAAAAAACATCGAAATGTAAGTGATGCACGAGAATGATTGCTAATGTCTGTCGCCTTCTCGCTCAAGGCACGTCTTTCGGGGAGTCATTCTCTGAATGGCCACAGCCCTCTTCGGGGCGGGGGCTCATTGGGTCGCGGCGATCGGCGGCCAGGCGCTAGGCACCTGGCTCGGCAGCAGCAGCAGCGGGTGCGACTGCAGCTGCCGCTTCGACGCCTCGCCCGACGAGGCCCTCATCGGGCTGCTGAAAGGACAGCTCGACAGGTGCGGTCCAGAGCACCTGCACGGGCAGCCGACGTTCACTCCAGCCTGCCCCGAGCCAGGGTACACCCGGCTGGAGCTAGGCCTCTCGCTCGTGCTCGGCCTGGTCCTGGGCGCTGTGCTCCGCGAGGTCCTCGGCTGGACGACAAGACGACGCGCTCGGAGAGAGACCCAGTCAGTGGCCCATGGCAGCCTCGCGGACTGCCAAGGCCCTGGAGACCCTGCAGGTGGGTACACGGGTCCTCGCCTACTACGAGCAAGAGGACAATTACTGGCATGAACGGATTTTGGTCGGCAGGATCACTGCGACGAGATGGGTGGTGGTCACACCACACTTTGACATCTACGAGGAAGACTTCGCGGACGCCCTGCAGCTCTGTCCAGTCGGCCCCCTCGGGGGCCTGCCCACGAAGCTCTCGGGCCACATCCTCCGCATGGACATGTACCGCTACAAGCGGAACGAAGCGAGGCTGCTGGCTGAGGGCAAGCAGCTTGCTAGCGAGATCCGCCGGGAGGAGGGCCTCCCCGACGAGCCACTCGGGGCGCTCGCGCCACCGCCTGCACCTGGCGGGGCTCTCGCCGATCGTGCTGACGCTGGCGACGCTTCTCGCTGGGTTGCCTTGGAGGCCCGAGCTGGCTACCGACCAGGCGACGAGCTTCCAGCAGGCACCGTGCCCGTCGCCATTCTTGGAGATCGGGGGATCTGTGAGCTCGCCGATGGCACCAAGCTGGCAGTCGCGAAGGCCGACACCTATGAGGGCAGTCCGACCCCCCGGCAGGAGCGTCAAGCTGCAGGGCAGGATCTTCGGACCCTTCCTGTCAAGTACGACGCCGGCGGCACCAGGGTCAGGGACTTCGCCGAAGCGGTGGACATCATGTCCTCCAACCCGCAGCTGGACTTCCCTGTCCTTGGGCCGCGGACGACCTTGTGGCTGGTGCAGCAGTTCAAGCGGCTGGGCCAGACCCCCCTTCAGCGACACATGTGGTGGAGGCAGACCCAGAACCTCACCGCCGCGGATGCTGGAGTTGATGAACATCAGTTCCTTTCAGAGCTGCTGGAGATGGGCGCCGAAAAGGACCAACTCAATGAGGGCGAGCTCGCGACCTTCGAAGCTGTGTCCCGACGGTGCCAACTTTGGGAGGAGGTCTATGCCAACAGACTTCGGGAGCACGAGGCAGGCGCGGTTCGCAGTGCAGGGGGCTCAGCTTGGCTCGACGAGCGTGAGATCTTCTTGGGACAAGAGCGTGGGCGTGGTGGAGCTTTGGTTTGTCCTGCACTTCAGAGCTGGGTGGCAGCCCGTCTCCAGGAGGAGGCAGCAGTACTCAAAGAACGACGCAAAGGACGTGAATAACATGTTCTTGCTCGAGGTGGTGTGGAGGAGAACAGCACAGCCAGGCCGAAGTCGAAAGCAAAGGCCAAGGGCGGTGCTGACGGGGCTTCCTAGCCCCATCCCTATATCGAAGTGGCTTGGTCGCCCGCCTGCCCCCGAGCGGTCGACGATTCTCAAGGGGAGGTGCTGGTCATACGGCACTATGTTTTGTGACGACGGCGGTGGGGGGCGCCATCGAGACCTACTTCCTATTCCGATCGGTCCGGAGCTGATGTCGATGCTGAGCGGTGGGGCTGCATGGGGCACTTCACTCACAGCACGGAGGAGAGCTGCGACCAGGAGGCGACAGGATCAGTGGCTACTCGACGGCATCACCTCCCTCAACGAGCTGGGGGGGGCAGGGCGCCATGTGCCCGCCCTCTCCCCGCTGACGGCGGCCCAGCGTGCTGCGGTTAGGCGGCTGGCCACGACCTACGGCAAATGGTCGCCGCCCGTTGATCGCCCTAGTCCCCATGAAGCGTGGAGGACGCTGCAGGGTCTCAGGCCTGGCTACTCGGAAGTCGAGGCCGCCGGCTCTCGAACAGTCTACCAGCGGGGAAATATCTCTCTTCCCAAGATCGGCGCGGGCAACTTGGTTCTTACGGAGGTCCTCCCCGCTGATCTGCAGACCAAGCTGGAGACTGGGCGCGGGCTGTTGCGATCCCGAGTGGAGGCAGCAGCGCTAATTCGCGATGCAGGTGCTCCTCGTGCCATGGACCCGAAGCTCGGGCAGCTCGGCTACGACTACGGCCACGCGCTGGGGGAGCTCTACACCTAAGGAGTGATCGAGGCCAGCTCGGAGCCAGTGTTGGAGGAAGCCGGCATGTTTTTTGTGGCTCGCAAGGACAAGCGGTCGCGTCTCATCTGCGACACCAGGACTCCCAACATGCACTTTACCACTCCAGAGCACACGGCGCTCGCGACGGGCGAGGCGTTATCCTCGCCGGAGGCGTCAGGAGTCACTATGATCGGCATGAGTTCTGGAGACGTCGACTGCTGTTTCTATCAATATGCATTGCCGCCCTGGTGCAGGCGCTACTTCAACCTCCCGCTGATCGAGAGTCGCTTCCTGCCTCCAGAGGTTCGGGGCACCTGCGGGCTGACGTTGAAGAGCGGCCAGGTTCGCTTTCGATTCAAGGTGGTGCCCATGGGATGGAGCTGGGCAGTGCACTTTATCCAAGAAGCTCACCTTCACCTCGTCAAGTCAGTTTTGCCATCGCAGCCGCGGTGCTTGGACAAGTGTCCCGGCATCGACTTGAACTCTGAGGATGCCAAGGTCCTGTACATAGACAATTTTGCTGCGCTGTCTCAGTCGTCCGACCGCGCCGCCACCGCCGTCGCCGACATGCAGGCGGCGCTCGCGGCCAAGGGCGTGGTCTCAGAGCTAGACCCCGCCCCAGCCGGGCGCGGCGAGCTGCTGGGATGCGAGCTCGACTTGCAGACGGGCTGCTGGCACGTGCTGGGCCGCCGGCTATGGCGAGTCTACGGTGCCCTCGAGCATGTCCTCTCGGGTCGGGCCAAGGTCTCTGACCAGGAGCTCGAGCGTCTGATTGGCCACCTGGTTTCCATCCTGATGCTGCGCCGGGAGGGGCTGGCCATGCTGCACTCCTCATACGAGTTCGCGCAGGCCTCCTACTCCAAGAGGCAGCCGCCCTGGAAAGGCGTGACCCGTGAGATGGGCTGGGTCAAGGCGCTGCTACCTTGTCTTCGGGCCGACACCCGGCGCCCGTGGAGCGAGGTGGTCACTTGCTTCGACGCGCCCCCCTGGGGCTACGGCATCGTGGAGACCGAGTGGGACCTCGAGGACGCGCAGCGCGTCGGCCGGGTCTCCGAGCGCGCCCGATTCCGAGGCGTGCTCGCTGCCGAGGGCGCCCCCCGCGAGAGGGCGCTGGAGCAGGAGATAGCGCGGGCGCCGGAGCCCGCCCTCCTGCTGGCAGGTCGCTCGGCAGGTTTCCCGGAGGTCGACTACGGCAAGATGCACGCCCGGCCCTGGCGCGTAGTCGGCTGCGGCCGCTGGAAGCGCAAGGAGGCCATCCACGGACTCGAGGGGGCCGCTCTGACTTGGGCCGTCCGCCGGGCAGCTAGAGACGCTCGGGGGCACTGTTCTCGCCGACTTTTTCTTGGCGATAACATGTCCCTCACTCTCGCTGCTGCCAAAGGTCGTGCTGCCAATCATCGTCTTTTGGGAGTCTGTCGGGTCCTTTTTGCAGTGGGGGTCGCAGCAGACCTGAAGGTTCAGGTGAGGTGGCTCCCCTCAGAGTGGAACCCAAGCGACGGTCCGCCCCGACGCTTTCAGCCTCAAGGCCCCAAGAGCGTGCATGGAGGTGGCGACGCTCCGGGCGGCGCCGCCCACGCCGGTGGCCTCGGCGAGCTGCCGCTCCGGCCCTCGCGCGCCGAGCGAGCGCAGGAGCCGTTCGCCTCGCCGCCCGGGCAGCCGCTGCCAGGGCATGCCGAGGCGGGCCGTGGTGCCGGTGCTGGCCGGGCCCGGGAGCAGGCCAGACTTGGCTGGGCGGCGCGCAAGGCTTGGCCTCAGTCACTCGGAGAGCGACTTCGACCTGAGGAGGCGCCAGCTGTGCCCGCGCCAGACCCGCCTTGCGGCTGCCAAGGTCAGGCCTCGCACGCAGGAGCTCTACCTCGGGATGATCCTCGGCTTGGTGCGCTGGCTGAATATGGCCTTCCTCCCGGACTGGCCGCGCCACACGTGGGGCGAGACGCTGGCAGAGTACGCCGAGTCAATCTACGACCGTGGGGGCTCCAAGGCGTCTACTCAGCGGCTGGCCCCGGCGCTGCTCTGGGCGGAGCCCGCCCTCCACAGGGCTGGGATCCGCGAGGTCTTCCCCCTGACGCACCAGACGCTGAGGGGCTGGAACGTCCTGGAGCCGTCCAAATCCAGACCGCCCGTCCCGTCCCTGGTGGTGCGGGCAGTGGCCTGCTGGCTGTGGCGGGCTGGGAAGCCGCTCAGTGGCTTGGCCGTTCTGATCATGTTCGAGACCTACATGCGCCCCTCGGAAGTGCTGGCCCTGCGAGCAAGGCAAGTAGTCCTGCCGCTGCCAAAGGAGGGAGGCGCATCGATCTTCTTGACGTTCGTGGCGCGGGCCTCGGAATACGAGATCCCGACCAAGACCAACGAGCACGACCTCTCAGTTCCACTCGATCTGCCCATTCAGCAGTGGATGGTGGACCCGATCTCCTTTGTGCAAGCCCTTCGTGGGCCAGACGACCTCTTCCTGGGCCTGGGCTACAACCAACTGGCGGAGGACTTCCACAGCGCGACCTCCGCTCTGAGTGTGAGCTTTCAAGGCCACCCTCTACTCCCTCCGGCATGGAGGGGCCAGCCACGACCGGAGCACGGGCGCCAGAGGCTTGGGCGCCGCGCAGCAACGAGGGGGGTGGAAGGCGTTCAAGTCCGTGCTGCGCTACGAGAAGCACGGACGCCTCTCGCTGGAACTTCGCAAGCTCAGCGACCAGCAGCGCGAGGCCCTCCGAGCAGCAGGCGGGGACTACGTGGGCGTCTTTAACAGGTCCTTGGTGCTGCATTTCGGAGCGCCCCCCATCAGACAAGAGTGCGCATCGAAGTCTTCTCGGGATGTGGGGCGCTGAGCAAACATCTGAGGCAGAGAGGTGAGGCTGTTGTTGAATGGGACATCCAGCACGGTGACCATTTCGATTTGTCTCGACCGGGGGTCTGGAGGATCCTCCGGGGATGGCTGACTTCTGGACTGGTCAAACTCGTTTTCCTAGGAACTCCTTGTGGCGGGTACTCGAGGGCCCGTCGGGCCCCCCCGTCCAGCAGCATGCCCTCGGCTCTCCGGAGCCCCGCTTTTCCTCTTGGGATCCCGGGCCTCACTGGTAAAGACCTCGAGAGCCTTCGCGTCTCTAACAAAGTAGGGTGGGTCTCGCAGCGTATTCAGCGCCTCTGCTATAGGTTAAATATTCCGGGCGGCGAGGAGAACCCCTGGCAAAGTTTCCTGCGGCTTCGCTCCGACCGCCGCGCCTTCGCTAAGCTTCCCAATGTCTGTGATAGGGTTGTCGATTACTGTGCCTGTGGTCGCCCCTTTCGTGCTCGCACTCGGATAAGGTTCTGGAAGTGCAGCCCACACCCTGGTCTAGATAAGTTAGTGTGCAAAGGCAGAGGGGTTTGCTCCTTGACCGGTAAGCCTCACCTTGAGTTCTCCGGTTGCTTTTCTGAGGGTGGTTTCCTCACCCGTCCCAAAAACGCCTACCCCCCCGCCTTCTGCGCACTCCTGGCTGACACACTGCACCGAACGTGTATAGCACAGCATTCCACCGAAAGATGGAAACGAATGCGGGGTTAAGCCCCAGCACAATGCTTGAGTGATGGATTCTGTTTCAGGTTGAAGTATGGCAGATCTGTGTCGCACTAGCCAGCCTAGCTTGCCCGTGCTTCGTTCGAATCCTCAAGCAGTCTGATCTATTGGCAAATAAAGCGATCATGTAAGTGATGCACGAGAATGATTGCTAATGTCTGTCGCCTTCTCGCTCAAGGCACTTCTTTCGGCCCACGCCAGCCCAATGCCTCGTTTCAATGGTACCTTGAGCAGATCTGTGTCGCACTAGCCAGCCTAGCTTGCCCGTGCTTCGTTCGAGTTCTCAAGCAGTCTGAGCCACTGGCAAATAAAGCGATCAAAAACAATGAAAATCAACGATTTTGGCAACTTGGGGCCCTCTTCGGAGGCCTCTTGGAAGGCCCTTGGAGCGTCTTGGAGGCCTCTTGGGCTGTCTTGGGGCCATCTGGGGCGTCTTCGGGCGATCTTTGGCCGTCTCGGGCCTCTCTTGGACCGTCTAGAAAACTTCTCGGGGCCCTCTTGGACCGATCTGGAGCCCTCTTGGACTCCGAAACAGAACTCCGGCATCTCTGACCCGACCTTGCCGGGGACTTGCCGGGACCTTGCCGGGGTACTTTTCGCCCGGGGACCCCCAGGAGCCGCCCCGCGCGCGCGAACTAGAAATACTGTTAACCAGGTACCAGAGATCTTAGCACGCCCTGGCCCGCTGGGCCGGCGAATTTCACAATCGGATCCGCCCTCTACCTCTAGCTGTAAGACATGCAAAGTACGCAGGATAAGACAGTACGACGAAGTTTTCAGCGAAGTCTTCTCCCGAGTAGAAATAGCCCTCCATCCGAGTAGCTGCTGCACATGGGGGTAATTAGGGCGTGGTAACACAATTCGAAGAAGCCCCAGCGAGAGCCACATGTTGAAAAAGGAACAACGCTCTGTCCGTGCAAGTGCGGCGCACGGCGCCAGGGCGAGCGCCACAGTTTGGCGACGTACCGCCCTGTATCCGCGCAAGTTCTGGAAGCTGCCCCATTTCGTGCGCGCTGGGCAGCCACGCTTTGAACTGGTTCTGGCACACATTCATCTAATTGGTCGACATCTTTCACGGCGAATGTGTGCGTCGCCAAGATTTGAGCCACGTCTGGAAATCAATCGCCCTCCATCCCTATCTGTGTTACTGCTGCGGATGCCGAGCTTCAGGGTCATTAGTGGTGAGGATGCCTCAGGCGAAATGGCCAGACCGCCCTACCGACGCGTCTTGTAGTCTCCAGGGTCTCTCCTTGGGTTGTCTCGAGGCTTCTGGGCTTGTCTAAGTGCAGATCTCCTTGCCTCGTTTGGCGCACTTCTTGAAGCCCCAAGTACGCAAAGTTCTTCATCAATTAAGAGCTCCCGAAGGCTCACACTGCACACTCTCAGAATTTCGTGGCCGTCGGGGGTCTCAGCCCTGAAGAACGGTACAACCAGTCTGCCTTTCACAACTATGTGTGCTTTGGGGCATGTGCGAATGGCACGGTGCCGCATTTACAAAACTGAGTGGCGAAGGAGCAGCAGCGGTGGCAACAGTGGCTTCTGTACGTGGTGGAGGGGAATGGAAGGATGGGTACTTGGAGGGGAAAGGGAAGGTAAAAGGACGGGATAGGTAGGAATGGTGTATATATTAACCCATTTTAGCCATGACGGATGTCTGCAAGCAATCCGCGTCGCGTTGTTCTGTTTTCTGGGTTACGGTTCATCGCACCAGTTTGTCGATCGCAGAGTGGTTCGTGTCGGGATCAATGTTTGCTTGATGCTTTGACATCTCTCGTCTTGGGGCTAGATGCGCTTTCCAGGCTGGCTAAGGGAAGGGAGCGATCTTTCGCTCCAGAGCGTCCCAGAACACACTCAAAGCGCTCTGGAAAGGCAGCGGCGTCCAATCCATCCTCTGGACCCGCCAGCTTTCAGTGACCTCGAGTTAATCAGTCACATGTTTGTAGTAGTTGTCATTTCTTTACCACGGCTTCCGAGTCAGGTTCCAAAGCGATGACATAGCCCACTTGAGACAGGCAAGCATGACATCGCATTTTCATCGTTCTCGGTTTGTCTGCTTCGTGGTAGACATCAGAACGGCGCAGAGATCGTAGAAGGCTGCGGCCTAGAAGCGACGGCTAACAGTGCCAGACACACGGGACGGGAGCATGCTACCAGGCAGGTGAAAGCAGAGCGCTCGAGAAGTCGCTGGGTTGTGGGAGACGCCGGATATACAGATGGCAGCGGTCTCTCCAGGCGCAGTGGGACGCAGCTCGCGCCCAGGCCGGCAGCCGTGATGGAGTTTGCGCGAGGGCCTCTCTTGCCTCAGCGTTGCTCTGTGGTATGTCCCCCTTCATGATTGTCCTCCGCTTCATCTGCTGGCACTTTTCCCTGCTCTATCCTCAAAGTTGCGTCCGTCACTGCCTGCCCGCTCCTCTTCCATCCGCTATCGCCCCATCGTGTCCTCCATCCATTATTCTTGCTCGTTCCTCCCCATTCCTCCCTCATCCTTCCTCTATCCCTCATCTTTCCTCCCCCCCCGGCTTTCCCCGATCCTTCCTCCCTCATCCTTCATCATGTGTTCTCCTCCCTCATCCTCCCCCCCCCTCATCCTTCCTCATCCTTCCTCCCTCATCCTTCCTCCCCATGGTGTCCTCCCTCCCCTCCTCCCTTATCCTTCCTCCTCCCCCCGTCTTTCCTCTACCAGTCCTCCGTCTCCAAACTATTCCCCCTCCTCCCGCCGTTCCCCTTCCTTTCTTTCCTGCTGCCTACCCTCACGTTCCCTTATCCAGCATGCCGCGGCATCGAAGGCCCGAGGCATCAAATCACTCCTTCCTTCCTCCTCGCGCGCGCGAGCAGGGGGAGGGGAAAGATGGAGGAGGAAGGAGGAGGACGGAGGAGGAGGAGGAGGAGGGAGGAGGCGCCACGAAGGCGAAGACGACCCCTACGCGATTCCGACTTTGTCGACGAGGTCAGTGGCGACTATGACGTCGGCGACGACCGTAGGGCCGGCTCGGGCCGTTTCGGGGGCCTCTTGGGCAGCCTTTGGGCCCTCTTGTGCCGTCCCTGGTCCTCTCTGAGGCCTGCTGGGCCGTCTTGGGGCGACGCTGGGGGCCACGTGAGACGTCTTGGAGCGTCGGAGGCCAGAAGGCGAGAAAGTCAGAATCCTTCAAAATCCTTACTAAGGGACATCAATCGGCGGCGGCGACGACTTGGTCGTCGACGACGACGACGAAGACGACGACGACGGACACTTCTACGTCCCTGACATTCCCCGCTATGATTATTTCAGCCTGCGGCCCCAGAACTGCAAAGCCGTTTCACAGGGCGATCTTTCCTCCCAGATCCATGTTTGATGGTCCCAGGGCCCGATATTGGGCCCAAGGGGACGAAACCGAGCACAAAACGGGCGGATCGAAAGATTCAGATCTTCGGAGATCTGCGAACAACGACGGCGGCGGCGACGATGTCGTCGAGGACTTGGATGACTTGGACGACGACGACGACGACGAGGACGAGGACGACGACGACCTGCAGGCCTCGATGCACTGCTGCGGCCTGCTGCGGCGTTTCGCGCTGGTGCTGCAGGCCAAGGTGGACCGGGAGAGCGCTCTGCGTCGGGAGGCCCACGGGGCGGCGCCGTCGGCCCTGGAGGGGAGGCGGCGAGGGCGTGGGGGGTCGGGGAGGCGGGAGGGAGGAGGAGCGCAAAGGACCGAGGGAGGAGCGAGGCTCGGGGAGGAGGAAGAAGGAGGAGGAGCGAGGCTCGAGGAGCGGGGAGGCAGGAAGGGGAGGAGACGGAAGGAGGGGGGAGCGAGGCCCAAGAAGGAGGGAGGAGGAGGACGATCATGATGATGATTAGGAGAGGGAGGAGGAGGAGGAGGAGGAGGAGGAGGAGGAGGAGGAGGAGGAGGAGGGGGATCAGGGCACGGGCGAGGTTTGAGGAGGAGGAGGAGGAGTACTTTGCTTCTTCGGTTTTCGGCGCCCCTTTGGTTTTCGGCGTACTTGTGGTGTTCGCCATATCGTTGGTTTTCGGCCCCTCTTGGATTTTCGGCGCCCCTTGGGCCTTCGCCGTCCCTTTGGTTTTCGGGGCTCCCATGGTTTTCGGCGCTCCTTTGGTTTTCGGCGCTCCTGTGGTTTTCGGCACTCCTTTGGTTTTTGACGCTCCTTGTGTGTTTGTTTGCGCACAACTTGATTTGTTTCCGCGCATCGTTGGTTTTCGGTGCCTTTCGTTTTCGGAGCCTTTTTTGTTTTTGGCGCTCGTTGGTTTTCGGCGCCCCTTCGGTTTTGGGCGCCCTTCGGCGTTCGGCGCGTCTTTGGTTTTTGGTGCTCTTTGGTTTTCGACGCCCTTTTGGTTATCGGCGCCCCTTTGGTTTTCAGCGCTCTTTTGGTTTTCGGCGCATCGTGGGGTTTCGATGTCTTTTTGGTTTTCGCCTCTTTGGTTTTCGGCGCCCCTGTGGTTTTCGGCG